CGAACGGGACGTCCGCGACCACGGCGCTTTTGGCCAAGTGCGAATTACACCGAACAAGGCCGACCGAAGGCACGGGGTCAATGAACTTACCCATGTAAACGCTCGCATATGTAAGTAGGGCTGCCAAACATGCGTTCGAGTTTAAAGGACTGTTATACGTGACTTAAATGAAAGGAAGCTAAATGAGTGTACGAAAATAATACCAAAAGCAATCTAACTGAAGTTAGAACCTATTTCATGACTACTAGCTGCTTCTTACGATGCCATGGCAGAAAGTGGCATGGCATGTCATTCAAACTGCATAGAATAGCTAAGTACTTACGGAGATTTAAGATTTTGAACGTGTTCAATTTAAATATTTGTGTATAAATTAAGTCATCTGTACTGTAAACGTACATTGCCAAGCTCGTAAAGAAAATAAATACCGTCTACAATGTCCGTCTTATAACTAGGTAACTAATGAGGGAATAACAGGGGACAAGATTTGTCTTCGCCGCATTGAAATACTTTATTTATTGATTGACATATATACGGACATCCGGCACATTGGCACTATTCGCTATTAAAGCTGAATCAGTCTTTAGCCAAAAAATCCGTAAAACCCACCGATGTTTTTTCCAACGTAAAGCAAATTAGGCCTTAGGTACTTGTTTCAATTTTTATAAATGTTAACGAATTCAATGCCTATTGTCCCGTTTGTTATTATCACAATGTCATTGTTAAATTTTAAATAACAATTTATATTTAATGAATAATTAACGATTATTAGAAATTCCTTCATCGCTGATTATTTTGTTCAGTTTCAAACTTTTGCAAATGGACTCCTAAGAAACTTTTTTCTGAGTTTTGAGTATTGCTCGTTATCTTTTTATGGGAGTAATAATTAAAAGTCTGAATAGGAGATTAAAAAAAAGTTCTGCGTATTTGTTTCATCTTACGTCTTTGGACGATAGGACGCTCATTTTGTGTAAATATCTTATCAAAATAAAAAGAAAAGTTAATATTTTGTTAAATAATAATAATGAATAATTAAAAAAAATAACTATACGTAATTAACTCTTAGTAACATTTACCGTATTTTCCTCTCCGATTCGCATAATTTTTTATTGGTTTTTAATTTACTCACAATTAACTATGAGATAATTCATATTATTACTATCCCTTAACCGAAAAATAGAGGTAGTCTTACTAGTGCCCGTCATTTGGCAAAATATAGAATCTTAGAAAGTCGGTATCAAAGAGAAGTCCAAATCTCGAAACCAAACGAGTGAAAGAGACAGTCCAAAGAAGATTTGATGACCACCGGTCACGTTTAGAACGAATTCCCATTTCGCGTGCTCGCATTAATGAAACCAATCGTGGAAGGGAAATGCATTTAGAACATGACCAATTGACTCAAATTGATTGATGAACTCGGGTCTTTCTTAATTTACTAAGTTTGATTTTGTGTGATCATTTATTGAAAAATTAACAAAATTATTAATAATTGTGAGGGCCAATAATTACCATAGAAATTATGAATTAATGTGAGAGTGCTTCTGATAATTAAAAACATCGTAGCCCGGGCAACGTCAGGTAAATAAAATTTGGCTTTTATATTTCATACCGAATTGAAAGCGATCTATGACCGCTACTGATTTTCATAGCCTTCGTAAAATCCTGATCCCACAGATTATATTAACCAGCAAACTGACGAATGTCGGACAAGTTATTTCGAACAATCTATGTTTTTTAGTTTATAAACTTTAAACAAGTGACTCGTATACACTAGCGACCCGATCCAACTTCTACCCGGTGCAATTCATATTCTACAGTCAGTTCCTCAAACGATAGACATAATGATAATTTTTCATGTTAACTATTTAATAGAGAAAATCATGGAAAAATGTCTATCCCCGCCTGTATTATAAATTCATAGCTAGAGAAACTAATATGTATAATGCAGTGGTTATGGCAATTACCAACCTCACAATTAGGACATTAGAAAGCACTCTTCATATTAGTTTAGATTATTATATCGGGGAAATTTGGACTGCAACATTCTCAGGGAACCACAGCAATGTATTAGGGCCACCCTTCCGACATATCGGCCAATTTGCTTAAATTGCGTTTATACAAATCGAGTTACCCCCCACTAACCACAGCTGGACGGGCTACGGCGTCCCGCGCGTGCCTTCATATCGAAAGGGCGACTTATTTAATGGGATTACCGAATTATTTATACATTAACGTAACCGCCATCTTCATATGCATTAAGATCATTGGTCATTGTTATGGAGGCTACATAAAATCAGGTAACGAAAACCTATTCTGGTCAGATGAAGCGACGAAAGACAATCCAGGCAAATCAATCACGCAGAACGAATCGACAAACGGTTTTATCAATTTTCGCAAGTCGGTCCAATGGCAAAACAGTATGATCCAAATTCTTGGTAAACACTTAAATCTATATAATTCACAACAGCCACATCAATCTCTACAGATGGTACATTAATTTAAATCGCAAACTGAAAAATATTGTGCGAGTAGTTAATCAAGCTGTGGTTTCCGTCAGTGGATTTCTATCACAGTTTTCTATTGCATCCTCCATTCCATAACTAGCATAATCATAATTAGCCAACATAAAAGAATGTACCAAAACACGCAACGAATTGAACGTAGCAACAAATACAACGGAGTGTTGGAATTTCTAAAGGCCCCTAAGCATCGAAACTTTTTTCTTCTATGAAGTAGGCAGCATCTGTCGGGCAGGTGCGTCCCCCTCCCCCCCTTCGGGGCAGGTAGGCTGTCCTAAGCTCGCGACGGAAGTAGTGTTCACTGCACGCGCGGCTGCTCTTTTTTATGATAAAATTCCCGAATTAATTAGTATGTACTTCAGAAATCAAATTATGTGCTGTCACAACACTTTCACACTTCTATTTCAGCTTTTCCAAATTTTATGATAGTTGTATTATATACATATATAATATTCTCATGTAGACTTAGTTAAGGTTTGTATGGTTAAACACTGATGAATGGTGAATTGTAATAATTATAAACCTCCCAATCTAATACAGATATATTTTAAATTGGTAAATGCAACTGTATTCTCGTGCACCTTCCACCAGAGAAAACAAGTAATACATTTACCTTGGGGAAATTAGTTATAAAGTGTAGATTGTAAGTTTTTGTGTACCTCTATAAGGCATATTGAAAAAAAATGTAATGATAAAATATTTTAAAATATGGAGATTAATATCTATATAGTAAATTAACGAATATTTTTATTTTACAAAAGTAACCACCTACACATGTCCTCCCTTCTTACTTAAGATATTAGGGCATACATCAGTTTTCAGCCCCATTGCATATTGGCAAAATGCACACCTAGGGGGTAGCACATCCATGGGGTTTTCTGATAAACAATGATATTAGGGATTAAAGAAAAAAAAATGCCGTTCTCGCATAAGTAAAAAGTTTCATTTTGCAATGCGCAGCAATTGTATAATTTATGGTATATATAAATAATTAAAACTTATAGTTTATAGTATACCAATTTGTTATATGGTCATTAAAATAATTAAAGAAATGGACATGATCGAAAATTGTACTTAGAATGATGTGTTATGAATGATTTCAAATGTTGTATATATATATATACAATGATATAATATTTGATTATATCATTTGAAATCAATATTTTTATGCGGTAGGGCAACATAACAGTCATTGCGTTTGCATGAAAGGTCTATCTGGGAAGTACCACAACGCCACAGAAGATCAGCATGAAGTACAGGTGTTATAATTCTGTGTCTGGTGTGTAAGATAACCGGAGCTACCCTTATTGGAAGGTGGCAACATATTTGTAACATGACGGGTGTTGCAAATGTCCATGGGCGTCAGCTATCACTTAACATCAGGTGAACTATCAGCTCGCTTGCTACTTTCTCACATAAAAAAATTCTAAGTTTACTATATCTTTTATTTTTATATTCTTAAATAACATTAAATTCTTTATCTTAGGTTAGTGTCTTTCCTTTTTCAAACCCGTAGTAGTATTTTCATAATCATTAAGTGTAACGCTTCTGTACTGAAATAAAGAAAGAAGAAAGAAAGAAAATACATTTATTTACCAAAAATAGGACGCACACAATAAAATAGAAAGAAAAACTAAAATTAACAAAAAATAAAAGAAATTAAAAAAAATACTTATAAATAATTCAGTAAAGCACAAATACATAATTAAAATATAAAACAAATGAAAAATAAAGATATTTTTATTTGTAATTAATGAGTGTTCACATCCAGATTTCTATTCAAAATATCATCAAATGGTTTTGATATACAATTTAGTAGTTAGCCTAGCAATATTTTTTTCACATTTTTCTATTTACTTTTGTTTGTTTTATATTTTAAGCTGTAACATTAATTCATGTTCCATATACCTAATATTTTTTTTAATGAAATAACTACTGCAAATCTGCAAACCTAATAAATATATATAAATTAAAAATGTGATCAGTAAATAAATTACAACTAGTTATAATGAAAAAATGGATTAAGAAGGAATAGATTGCTTGCATACAATAAAGTAATGAATTCAATGTTAATGTACCCAATATACTAATTGAACTTGATATTAATTACAAATCCTGTTGTTATGAACTAAACAAAACAATAGACAAACACTGTGCTATCATTACTCCTTAGCGGATCGATAGATGTTGTAGTAAACAAAGGAAAAGTTAGATTCAATGTAAATTGGTATACAGGATCAGTTTTGGGGAAATCAAAAAAAAATTGAGGTAGTTCGAAAAATACAAACAATATAAAATGAACAAATAATATAATAAAAGGTACACAAGTCAAACACGGCTATTTCATAAATGTCACGAGTTCGTAGCAAATTAGGAAGTGAAAATGTATGTACACCATTTATATTATGTTCACTATTCAAGTTTATTATGGTTTTCATGCAGGTATTATTCTTAATGTCCAAGGACCACGTTGTAAAAACTCACCGTTTTACGACCATGATAGAATCCGTCTGCTCGTTTATGGACCCTATGATTCGAATTATGCTTTGCAAATGACACTAATATTTTCTGAAACACCATTAATTACATTAAATCACTATCATTTCAATTTATTAAATTCACACATCGCTACAAGGCGATAAATGCACTGATTTTCATTATTCCACAATCCACGGTGGACTTACACTTCACCTTTAGAAACATGAATTATTAACATGGAAATATATTGAATGTAATCACGAATTTAGAAAATAATTCGACTTATTTCGTTTTCTTCTTGAAATGTAATACTACACCACTCAGTGTGTAACAAATCGCGTATTCATAAACACAAACTAAAATGTAATCGTGTTCGTGTTTTTACATTGGTTGATGCTAACTTCGCGTTACACGGAATAGAGGTAGACAACTTCACGCGGCAAGTTTAACTAATTCAATGTCGATCAAAAAGTCTACTATTTTATGAGTAAAATTTTACATACGGTCTGCAATTATTCTATAGCCCAGAATTAAATATTTTAATGCATTTGAGAATATTTGGTAATTTACTAAACTTATCTGATGTCATTCAACAATATATTTTATATTTAAAAAGAAAATGAAAAAAAAATGCTTCCTAAAATTTCATACATTTTGAGAATGTTGTCTTATAAATCTAAATGTTTTTTCATTGCTTTCGAAAATGGAAATAAAAAATTTTATGGATTCGATACGTATCAATACTTGCGTTGCAATACTACGCCCGGTTTCTGAAACAGTAAACACTGATAATCTTAGAAGTCAGTATGATCTTCTTAATGATCAGAATGAACAATTCAAAAGGTTTAACAATCATTTTGGCAACTCAAATATGAAATAACATTTGAAAAGCTATTTGACAGCTGATTAGTTAACTTTTAGGATGATCAGTTTTTCAGATACCGGTAGTTAGTATTTTCGTACTCGATACTTTTGTTCCGATACTTTATTAGGTATCGATACTTTCTGATATACTCGATACTTTTAACTTCACTATTATTGACTCAGATACTCCAGATTCTATATAAGGGGAATCCCCGAATCTCATTATCAGCGGTTATGTGTGGCCAGACTTTAATCATATCTTGGTATTTTGAAATGGTCCGGTGTCTTCTTTTAAGTCGGACCCATTCATACAATAAAGTGAAATGAAAACGGTGTACCCTAAATTATGTACTTGGCCACCAAATACTTAATAATACCCGGAATATCAGTGCCGTCTTAAAGACTTTTCTCAAAGGATTAAAGGGGCCAAGAGAGATTTATTAACGCGTTTCCCGAGGCAAAGGAAAAGTACTTGAATTATCGATACTTTTGTTGCGATACTTTCATCGGTATCGATACATTTGATACGATACTTGGTATCGAGTAGGTATCGATGCTTTTAAAAATTTGTGAAACCCTAAAAAAAACATTCTTTTGTTACAACTAATATAAATCACTTCTGCCGACGCTTATATATAGGAACATAGTCCACGGTCAAAAAGCAGATCAGGTTAATATAATTTACCAACTACTTTTTTCCATGTGAAATTCCAAATTCCAAATAGCACAATGGATAATATGGCTTACGATTTAAAGAAATTGTTTATTTTATATAAGTTTAGACTGACACATACAAAAACAGTATTAATAAATATTAAACAATATATTACATTGGCGAATTGGTTCTATCTTTTCGTAAAAATTGTAAAATGTATCTTAAAGTGCTTATGTTTATTAATACAGCGAATATAGTTGGTTTAATATGTAGTGCAGCTGTCAGCACCAGAAAGCACTGATTCGAAACCCTACTCGAATAATGTTTTACTAATTTACTATGTTTGGAAGTCTTTTAAAGTACGTTACATCATTTTCCATTAACGCACAGGGATTCTTGGTTTCATAGAAATTTACTAATTTTATACAATTGTTTAGAGTTATTCATGTGCATATACATATTGATATTTTAATCAAAATAATTAAGAATACTCACGGTTTCACCAATATTATTGCCTTGGAATCACTTAGCAGTTGCAAGAAATTCATCCGAAATGAAATTTGGCCACTTTTCGCTTTTAAATATTTTTGTAATTTGGATATTAGAATAAGATTGTTCGGCTTCGATCTTCTTATTAATTTTTGCGAACTGCACAAAAAACCCATAATTAAATGTTCCTCAAACAAAACTTAGGTATATCTAAATATTGACTAGAATTGTATTCTTTAATACTGAGTATCAGTCTATATTGCTTTCGTTGAGATTGTAAATTATTATGAGAATGCTTCGCGAGTCGCGACTGCATGTGAGACTTCCATCGAGGCCGAGCATTCATGTACCGACAAGTTTGGTACGCGCGCTTAGATAATTTTACATTAGAATATTTGATTTATAAACTCTGAAAGCAATTGTTCGTATCTTTCAAGTTCTTTTACAAAATCAAGAACCATATTTTTTTTTCTTTTTAAACAACAACAACCTTTTTTATATAATTACAAAATTACCTTAAGAACCTTAAGAAAAAAGGTAATAAAGTGCGGACTTAATGCCCAAAGCCATTCTCTATCAGTCAACCCAGGATATAGTGAAAGTTTATGGTAGGTGTAGCAAGGGATGTAAAAATTTTTTGCGGAATAATTTCTTTGAAATTCTCTTAGTTTGCATACCAGGCATGCGTTGACATATGGAGCACAAGTTTTATCATGTTGCAGACCAATATAAAACTACATATTAGGTATGATATGAGACTGTTCGCATTTAATTTTTAATTGTACAATTAAGGCTGCTTTGATACACTTTCCACAAGTGAGTGCTGTCTACCATTACATCAGCTCTTGTATCTTGTATTAACTGATGTTTTTGCTTTCAGTCCCGAGACTAATAAAGCTTCATCTGACGCAGAACCGGTGGGCTAGCCAGAACCCACGGGTTTGGGCCCTCCGCTGTGGGTAGGGCCACGCATGTGCTCATGCGTGCGTTTAACTATGGTACGTCATCTAAGGGCCATCGAGGTCGTGGTTCGGACCGAAACCCCGATGGCCGTCGACTCTGCAATTAGCTAATCGGTGGCTGGGGGCGGTGAGAACCGCCCCGGAACGCGGTTGTACCTTGTGTACGCGTTGTGTTGGTCGCCGTGCTCGGAGGCGAGGGCGAACTAGTGTGTTTGTTGTTGCAGTAACTGTGGGTGTAGTGTTGTCCTGCGGGACCCCCGGCAGTGGGTCCGGCGTGTCTAAGTCCCCTTCCTCGACCGGGTCGATTAGGACGTTTCGCGGGCGACGCTTGTTGACGTTCGTTTTGGTCGGGTTGGTAATTTGCTGCGCTTACCACCAGAGGGTTGGGATGATGTTCGGCTCTATCGAAGAACCGTTTGGTCAGGTCTTTAAAATATTCGCGAATCGTCGGGAGTCTGCAATCGCTGTGCAGGTCGACGTTGCGTTGATACCACTGCGCACCGGTTGAACTTATTTTGTACTATTTGCAACTTGTACAAGCGAGTAGGGTGCGTGTGGGCGAAGGTCATGCATGCGTAAGACATAATAGGTCGTACGCAGGTCTTATATAATAATAATTTGTGCCTTAAGGGCATTTTACTTTTAGCGTTAGTTAAATTGTGTAGCCGGCCGGAGACGAACGCGGCTCTATTGCGAACGTTATTAATGTGCGTAGTAAATGACATACGCGATTCGAAAGTGACTCCTAAGTATTTGACCTTTTTCTCCCAGGGGAGCGGTTGGCCATAAAGGGATATTTGCCCCAACTTTCTGCATTAACGGGGGCATTATAAAGATGTGACGGGTAAGTACTTCGTGTGAAGTGAATCGCCACACTCTTTTCGGGATTTATTTCTATTCTCCATTTGCGGAACCAATCGCCGAGGCGGTCGGCAGCGCTTTGGAGTCGAGCGGTTAGTTGTCTAAGGTTGCGGTCTGAATAAAAGAGCGCCGTGTCATCCGCGAAAAGCGCGAGATTGACGTGGGGGTCTTTAGGTATATCGCTCGTGTAGAGCGTAAAGAGCAAAGGTGAGAGGCAGGAGCCTTGTGGTATGCCGGCCGTGAGGCGGCGGCTTGTGGAGAGGGTGCTTTCAACTCGATATCGAAAAGAGCAGTTCGACAGGAAGGCCTGGATGGTGTGTACGAGCCTATCTGGCACTTTGAGTGTTTACAGCTTGTAAAGCAAGCCGTTGTGCCAGACCTTGTCGAATGCTTTTGCGACATCGAAGAAAAGAGCCCCTGTACTAATATGTTTAGGGTGGTTTAGGCCTTTTAGGATATGTTCCGTTAGGCGGAATAGTTGATCGGGACAGGAATGTCTAGCTCGAAAGCCGAATTGTTCCGCCGGCAGAAGGCCGTTGGAAAACACGTGCTCATTGAGCCTGTTTAATAAAAGCCGCTCGTAGAGCTTCCCCAGGCAACTGAGGAGGCTGATGGGACGATAATTAGAGGGCTGGTTGGCTGGTTTATTAGGCTTGCGAATGCCGATAACCCTGGCTTCTTTCCAGTCGTCTGGAAAGGAGCAACTGGAGAGTAAAGTATTGTAAATGGTCGCCAGTAAACAGATAAGCGGCCCAGGGAGAGCTTTAAGAATTTTGTTACTAATATTATCTGGGCCCGGGGCGGATTTGGGGTTTAAGTTTTTAATAATATCTTGAACCTCTTCGGGGGTCACTGAATTCAAAGGATCGATCGCCTTCCGGTGGAAGCGCAGCCCTAATCTCGATTACGCGGTCCACCTCCGTTAGGTGGGCTGTATCGATGTGTTCGCGCGATGGCGTACATTGCTGCTCTAGGTTGTCCGCAAGGCATTCGGCTTTTTCGGAGTCATCTAGGGCTACTGAAGCGCTATTAGGTCTAACTAACGGCGGTAGAGATTCGCGGGTGTCTGCTTTCAGACTGCGGACCAACCGCCAGTAGGCGGTGTGCGATGGCTCGATGTCCTCTAGGAGAGTGTCCCACGTTGTATGTCGGTGTTCCGATACATGATCTTTGACTTCTAGCTGAAAGAGTCGAAGTAGGGTTCGGTTCGATTCCGATCGGTATCGGTCGAAGGCGCGTTTGGCTGCATTTACATCAGCTCTTAATATCGATCGATGTTGCCAAGTGCATAACTAAAGAATTGTCCCTTGATAGTGACCCTTGGTATCAATAAAATGACACGAATTTGGTTGAAGCTTGTTTTTGGATGTAAGTAGGTCGATTTTTCAAAAAATAATGTAAGTCTTCTGATGAAATCAAATTATTTATCATTGCTAGCGTATGACATTTGCCCGTTGAAGTCTGACTTGTGCACTTGCTCACGCGCGTGACTTGGAGGTCGTGACAGTGATGCATTTACTTACGTAAGGAAGGAGGAAAGGAGGCGTTCATTAATTACGTGAGGTGATTTTAGAGACTTTTTTGACCCCCTCCCCCTGACGACATTTACTGAAATTGGGCTCCCTACTCAGCTCCCCTATCCCCCAGTCTCATGTGAGATTTTTCAAATTGCATGTACTTCAAAAATTAGTAACTAAGTAATAAAAAGGTGGCGAAAGCGATTTCACCAGTTATAAAGAACTGACTGTAACTAAAATAATAAAATATATAAAACTTTTTAGACAAGGTCCTCAAGCGCGCGCTATTGTAATCAACGGTACACGAGCATAATTTAAAATTGTTTTAAAAAAATAACGAAAGCGCGCAAAATTTATGCTGAATTTGCGTATGATATTACAGTTAAGGTACAAATTGCAGTAGAAAATTCTATTAGGATTTTATTTGGAATAATACTAAATAGGCACAGTATGATTGTTCATTCAAATGTGCTGTATATTATAATTTACTGTATGATGTCGTAACAAATAAGTTTGAGAGATTTTAGTACGTTTCCTCAATATTATGAATGAGCTAAGTTTTCCTTTTCGTCTGCGCTATTGTAATCACACTTTGGTTTTGTGGATGTCCGAGCTGTAGATAATTTTGGCAGAAATTACGAGCTTTTGTTTTTAAAAAAATAGTTTTAAAAAACAAGCTGCCTCCCAGTGTTCGGTTTTAATGATTCCTTAAATCTAAATTACAAAACGATTTTGTTAGCTTAATAATTTAATTGTACTAAATTTATGAAGTTTCATTACAAAAATCTTCACGAGGCAGATAATACAGGTGAACCAATAAACAAGTTAGCCAAATTTTCATTTAAAAAGGCTTTGAAAATCTTCTTGTAATGCGCAACTCATAGGGCCTTTTGCCCTGCAGATTGGGCAGATAATTTTACATTATTGCGAGAATGGTAACTCAAGGGTTACTGACGTTCTGACTGCGCCCGAAAGTTACTGTATCATTAAAACAATAAGAAAAATTACCTTAGAAGCAAATTTGCAATATATTCCCTTCCCACTAAGCTACGCATCTCTCATAATATTTTGAGCTTCGAAGAAAGCTCGATTTTTCACATGGAAAAGCGTATACGGAAAGGCTGTCGTAATGAATTTAAAAGCGTCAATAAGTTATTCACAGCCATTTCTCCTAAAGAATGTTACATGATTTTTTTTATTTTATACACACTTCGTAACTTGAAGAATATACTTCACAAATCCACGTAATGGTATAAGTACTAGATTTTAAATTGCATATAGTTCTCAAGTCGCAAAGTGCAATTGACACGAGCTAATTTGGGAACGAGCAAATAACACAATAATAACAATTTTTACTTGGCACTTTATAAATAAAAACTAGAAAAAAGAAAATAATTTACATTGCATTAGTTCTATTTGTTTTCCTCAACGTGTCGAGTGTGTCTATTTTTCCCGTCAGACCACACTCACGATGACAATAACATTAAACTTTTACATTACCATAAACGAAGTAAGGCTAATGTAGAAAATTCCAAACTATATTAACGATAAAAACAATACAAATTATACTAGTTTATGTAATATACAGTTTGTCTTTACAATCGCGACAATTAAATGAACACATATATAGAGAATAACTTTTTAAAATTATATTAAACATTTACTTTCTTTTAACATCAATATTTACAGAGTTATTAAATTTTCCACAAGAAAGGATTTTAGACCACCCTTACGTATAAAACTGTAAGTTCATTTGTAAAGGTCACAAAGCATATGAATGGGTTGAATGAATTTAAATGAGACAAAACATACTGTTAGAAGGAGAGGCTTGTAATGCGACGCCGCGGCAACGAATGAAAAAGTCTCTGAATGTATGAATCAGTCAGTTGTAGTTGTATACGATGTTACAAATTTTGTTTCTTTTTCACTTAATTTGTTTGTTTGAAAAATATTTTTTTTTAATTATGGATTTTTTTAACGTTAATATTTTTTATGATTATTGGCAAGTAGCGTTAGACGTGTGTTCATTTACTGTCGCGATGGTAACGACACGCTGTATAGTCATGAACGTAATTATTTAAGTGTATGGATGAACCGAAAGCAACGGCAGTTTGGGCACCTACTCTTAGACGTGAATGTAATCATGTTAACAACCAATGATATTTTATACTCCAGATATGTTATATACGCATACAAATTCACCGACCAAAAGTGTTCCAAATACAGTGACAGCACACAATTACACGTTTCTTCCATCATAATTTTCTCACACATGTCGAATGGTATAAAAAAAAAGGGCTACAATAGCTTTTTTAAAAGGATTATTTTTATAAGTAGAAAAAAGGGCTGTTAGCTTTTATCGATATTTTTGTCTTTCTCCTTCCCGTATTAATTGTATCTGTTGTCTCCTTTTATGGTTTCTAACTTACACAAATTAAAATTTTAGGAAAATAATTAATATATACTAATAAATGTGATCCTACTTTTGTTATCTTCAGAGTCGTACTTGATACATATTTTAAAGACACGACGGCATTTTTATTATTGTAAAATTTTTGACACCGCGTCTTACTCGCCACCCTAACGTCAACTGATTACTAAAGACTAGACGTCCCAATTGTGACATTTTCCTGGCTTTATTTCTGGCACGTTAACAACGTATCTATAGTATAAAATATCATTGTTGGCTACACAATATATGATTACAGCCTACTCTATAAACGAATGTATCCACTTAACACATCCTAATACTGGACTTCTAGACAAGATCTAACTAAATCACGTCATAAAAAAAAGCACAACAATAATGTAAAAAAAGTCTTTCAAACATGGAAGTTTCCGACGGCGACGTGTCCAATAAATAATCGCTACCTACATTCAAAAACTTACACATACATCCATCAAAGCAAATAGTAAACACGTTCACAATAAGTGTACTAAAACGGTGGAACTTCGAAACTGTTCTATACATCACATTTCGGCTATTTGGACATTATATGATTGCTCCAATTGTTGGTCCTTCGATAACCTCCAAATAACCTCAAACGCTGTCAGGCCGCGTATCAATATTCGTCGTAGCCGTAATACTCGTCTTGGTCGCCATTTTGCAACATGGCGGCTAGCGACAACACGCCGGTCGCTTCGCTCGGCTCCGCCTCGACGTCCTCCTCGTAGTCGTCCAAATTTTCTGAATATGTAAAAAAAAAATTAACCAACGCCTATTTGTCAAGAGGGGTAGATAGAGACGGTCTGAATGGCGGTTGTTACCGCGCTAATCGAATCACCAACAGAACTCGAAACTCTCAGAAAATTAAACATAAAGGTCATTTAACATATAACGTTATGTCTATCCAGAGTTAATTAAAAATTGCCCAAAAGCGTCTAACGGGACAGTAAGACTCTTTGTTAAAACTTCAAAATAATTTCTTCTAATTATTTTAATCCATACAATTACCGATTGAGAAAAGTAAAAAGCAAAATAGTGGCAAACTTTTAAGAAGCTGACAATTTTGTCGAAAGAAAATATCTATATATATAAATAAATTAAACTTAGTGAGTACTATGCGTTTCCAATAAGGATCCAAATTTTGCCTAACGCAGAAAATTCAAATAAATAGGTAAAAGTGCCTAATGTCTCACCAATTGGTACTGGCGTGGGCGTGGCAGGAGGGGGCATCGGGCTGGCAACTGGTATAGGGCTGGCAGGTGGCGCAGCCGCCTTCTTTTTCCGTTTACGAGGCACCGGCGAAGCGGGGACGGTCTCCAATGGAGTTGGAGGTTTTGAACTGTGGAGAAAAGACGATTCATTATATTCGAATATTTGGTACTATTTAGAATTACCGAAAGTCACTTTAGGGCGATTTTTTAGGGGACCACGATCTCACAGAAGACCGGCGTAAAGTGGAAGTATGAAAAATACTTTCACGTTTCGTCTGGTGAGTGAGGTAGCCGGAGCCCAATTTTCGGGCGGCGGTTATCACTTAACAATAAGTGGACAGTCAGCTCGCTTATTAGTACCACTTTTAGGACTTTTGGTTATAACGTGTCGTCGGACCGTTTGCGAGCGAACGATTCTCGGCACCAATCTTGCACTAACCTTTGATATGTCAAGATGATCATGGAGAATGTACAAAATTGTACTAGATACTCAAAACACTTCTGATATTTGCTCTTTATCAAATTGTTTTGTGAAGATGCTCTTCACAAAAAAAATTTCCACTCTTTGATTCACAGATTTAGGCACAGATTTAGGCAAACTTGGTATTCGTAGTGAAATTGAATCATCAAGTAGTCCTAGGTATATAGGACAGTTCATGTCACTTTCTAAACCCTCTCATTCCCCGGAATGAGAGGGTTAGAAAGTGAAATGAACTACCCGTAGTTTGATCACCCCCCATATTATTATCTAAGATATGTTATATTATAAATATTTATAATATAACATATCTAATTAGGTATATAAATAAATACATACATATATATATGTACCAATAATAAAAACGTGAAACGAAAGACCGAATAAAATCGATGATTTTTATGTATTCTCAGAAGAAATTGTATAATACTTACTCGATGACAGGTTGCGACACCTTCACTGGCGTGGCGGGTGCAGGATGTGCTACATGCGTGCCCGGCTGGTCCAAACTCTTCAGTATGTCGTAGTTGATCTTGGAGCTGATCTTCTTCTCCGCCAGCATCTTCTCGATGGCCTCGCCAGCGGTTGCCGCGTTGATAGCCACCCTCTTCTTGTAGGCGCCCCGCACTTTCTTCTTTTTGTCTTTACCCTCTTCTTTCTCGCGTGCGCGTAACTCCTCCTTTACTGGAAACGGTTCACGTTTTTTTTAAGTGAAAATTGATAAGTGAGCAGGCGGTTCACCTGATATATTGGCCCCAAGCTTGGAGTATGCTTTGGAATCATCATCATCATTTCAGCCTGTTTGAGTCCACTACTGAACATAGGCCTCCCCCATAGACTGTCACGAAATACGATCCTGAGCCACCTGCATCCATCGACTTCCCGCACATTTGCACAGGTCGTCTCTCCATCTAGTGGGGGGTCGTCCAACACTTTGGAATAATAATTAAAAATTATAACTTAAATAAATAAACAAACACACAAATTTTCGGATTTTTTTCTAGTTCAATTTTGATTTCAATTCTTAACGTTTCTATGAAGTCTACAATAGCGCGAGAGACTCTTAGTCTTAGCACTATGGTAGATCAACGCAACAGTTTTCGCTGTTGCACGAACAGGCAGGTCCGTCCGGGTAAGTACCACAGCCTCACAGAAGACCGGCGTGAAATGGAAGTATTATACTTTCGGAAGAGACTTTAGGGTGAATCGAAGGCATTCGGTCGAAACAAACTGGCTCCAACTGACACTGGAAACTGCGGTCTGTTTATTTGTACATTTGCGTTTTGTCCAAAGAATGTGGTAGCCAAGCCTGCATATTTCTCTGCAGGCTACTTATGTACGCACGTAAGAAATTAAAGTTCTTTAACGGAGAAAAGAAAAACAACTAAAAATTTTATCCTATGTGCCAGTCATCATCATCATCGTTTCAGCCTGTTTGAGTCCACTGCTGAACATAAGCCTCCCCCATAGACTATCTGCCAGTACCCTTGTTAGGGTTTGGTACCCTGAAAAAAAGTTATTAAATGCAATTGATTAAAGTTTAATTAAATAACTTTTTACTGAGCTAGCGCGCTTAGAATCGGCTGCATCGCCACTTACCATCTGGTTGGATGACAGTCAAGCGTAGAGGAGTCTCGAATAAAAAAATAACTGGAATCATAGGTAAATGTCAAAAAGTTGTTATCGGTTGCTATGAAAACCCCAAGAAGTTGGTATCACTTTCAGTTGTCACGCATCGTAAAAAATTCGCTCCATCATGTTTCCGATACGCGAAAAAGAGGTGACAAGCCCAAAAAGCCTCACTCACTCTTCTGCTCCTTGAGGTAGCCCGCGTTGATGTTGTTCCACAGCCTGGTCTTGTGGCGCGCCTCCTCCTCGCTCATGATCAGCGAGCTGACGTACTCCTCGTCGCGCTCGCTGAGCACCAGCTCGTCGGCGCCGTGCAGGTCCCGGCAGTACTGGTTCTTCGGCTCCGGCTTGAGGAACTTGTCCGGCCTCTCGTCCGGCTGCCCGAGGCCGATCACCGCCAGGTCGGGTCCTACGGCCAAGTGGGTTCTCTCTAAGCTATCCATCTAGGCCGTGACAGCTCAGTGTTCGGGCGCTCGCGTCTCATTTAACACATTCGAGCGACCTGAGTTCGATCCCCGGCGCCGGCGCCAACGAAATTGTCAATTTTAAGTGCCGAATTATCACGTGCGCAGCGGTGAAGGAAACCTGCATATTTTCGAAATAATGACGAAAGAATGATATGTAAAGTCTGCCAATCCGCAGTGGGGCCGCGTGTTGGACTATGCCCTGATACCCACTGTACAGAGGAGGCCTTTGTCCAGCAGTGGGACATGTATAGGCTGATACTTTTTTCCATCTATGGTGTATTTATGTACATGTAGCCTTAGGTTGCTAAGGCTACTAATACATTATCCACGTGGCCGCAGAACCCGCCCTGGGTGCATCTCTTAAGTTTCACATCTAAGGTATGTACTGTACATAGCATCTCCTTAGCATCATATAGTTAAGATCTGGCCAGTGAAAAACCAGTTTCTCTCGAATTACAGTTAACTAGTACTCAAGATAGAGGAACCATAGGTAACGTATTGAAGATTTATTTATTTACGCACCGATCTCTTTTTTCTTGTAGAACTGTAGAAAAATATTTTTTAAATTTTATATAATATATAAAATAATATATAAATCTAAACAATCAGTAGAAGTTATTAGCAAAATGTATGTATCCCTAAGCTCTACGCGGTTTAGGCTAGAGTTTTGATTCTACTGACAGTTTGACCTTGTATCGTCTGTTCCTTGTATTTGTAAATAATAGAGCGCTTACCGAGTCCCTTTTCGAAATTGAGCTTTTCTTGCTTTGGGTCGGTGATCTTGTCCACATCTGACTCGCGTGCTATCTCGCCGAGGAGGTTTAGCGTTTCTTCGGCCGCGAATCTTGTTGCCTCCGCTTGCTCCGCGACGCCCTCGTCTAGAAAAAAATCCCATTGCCATTCGAGAAAAACTGTTGCCATGGTACGGACGCATTATAAGAAGGGAGTCACGTGACTGAAAGAGTGATGAGTGTGAATTTGGTTGGTGGGTGTAAAGCTAGAGGAAAACGGCGAAAGATTTGGATGGACTGTGTGAAGAATATATCTATGAAAGGGGGTTAGTATTGAGATGACGGCTGATAGAGGAAAGCGGACTGTTGTACGGTTCAATGGAGAGAAAAGGATGGGAGATGTGTTAGTATGAAAAGAGGTAGCTTTGAGGATAGTTAAAAATAATGTACACCAACGTGTAGTCAGAGCGAGAGAGAAAGCAATTTCGAGCACAGTGCGAACGAGTCGGCAATATCCTCTCCCCGCAACCTGTGGCCTTCCAATATCTATTAACTGTTACTGGACAATGACTTGACAAGCATCACTTTATTTAAGTTTTTCAAGCGCCACCAGCATCCTATTCCATCTTGCCTAGTCATTCATAACACTAACTTTGCTGACAAATAAGTGGTTATTGAAATATGTAATCGACACCTTCGCCGAATGGGAGTACGAAACCTTAAGTTGTAGTTCATAATTTATCAATTAATCTATGAAATAATTGTCATTATCATAATCATAATGTGTTCAGGCTGTTTGAGTGCACTGCTGGATACAGGCCTCCGCCACAGACCGTCACGAAGCACGATCCTCGGCCTCCTGCTTCCATCGACTTCCCGCACATTTGCACAGGTCGTTATTCCATCTAGTGAAGTCTCGTCCTACACTGCGACGGCGAATACGAAACTGCCATTCAAGAACCGTTCTATCCACTTATGAGCCCATTGCCACTTGAGTGTATTATATACAATTTAATTTCTTACCGTTGTTTAGTAGCGCAGCGGCCGTCAGTCGTCTGCGTCTGTGATTGTCTTTCTCCAGCTGAAGATCTATCTCTTTCTGAAGCTCTGACAGCTCCTTTTCGCCGTCCTCCTCTTCCATCAGCTATGAATTGAGAAAAATAATGTGTATATGTGCCAAACGAGCTGGCGGTTCACTTGATTTTATATGATAATTACCGCCCATGCCCACCACATTTGCAACACCCATAGGGTTACAGATGCGTTGCTAGCTTTTAATAAAATGGGCCTCGGCTACCTCAATCACGTGACGAAACATAGAAGTATAATACTTCCACTATCAGGGTTAATGTTTCTGAACGATTTATAATATGCTCGATTTATAAATGCTTTTATAAAACGTTCTTCAAGAGGTTCACCTTAAGAATGAATGTGTATATTAATCACTTATTTATAATTTAATACGATATTCATTATTGTCATAAAAGATTGACATTACATTACTAAATGTTGTCCATAAAATAGCTCAATTTAATACATTTATCTATAAACAGGAATGCATCATGAGAAAATGGACAGCGGGAAATTTGATGGATAATCAAAATCACGGTGGTAGGGCCACGCAGCAGCCTCGGCTGTTGCACGAATGGGCAGGCTCGCCCCAGGTAAGTACCACGACCTCACAGAAGACCGGCGTAAAGTGGTAGTATAATACTTACGCGTTTCGTCTGGTGAGTGAAGTGGCCGGAGCCCAATTGTCAAAAGGTTTTCAACGCATCTGCAATCCTCGGGTGTAGCAGATGTCCATGGGCGGCGGTATTCACTTAACATCGTGTGAAGCGTCAGCTCGCCTGGCAACTTTTCACTTTTTTTTTTATGCGAAAAGTTGTCACTTAAATTACTTAAAGAATTCGCACCCTTTGCAGTCTTTCCTTGTCCCTCTTGCGCGCGGCCCTGAAGGCCGGCGGGTCCTGTTCCTCCTCCAAGTCCACCGTCATGAACTCGTCGAGGGTCAGGGCGCTGGAGGGCGTGTCCCCGAACTCCATCAGGCGCTTACGCAGCGTGGACTCGTGGACCTTGACGATCCGCACCACGTCCGCCGGGGTGCGGGAGAAGTCGTGAAGGCGAGCCGCCATTAGCAATGCTGCAAAGAGAAGAAAATTACTTATTCAAATACTATATTACATTGGGGATATCTCGTTATTCATCAATGTAGTTATATATTACGTAAGATTAAGGAGAACGTGGTCAACGAGAAGGCGTATAGCCTAAAGCCTAAGTCAAGCGGTCACGGTTGCCTAAGAATTTTTCTCAACTAATAACGGGGTTTAAGAATTGTCCTATGTGGGAATGTAATACCCATCGGTGTAAATTTTAACTGTGGTAGGGCCACGCCTCTGTCTTCGTTGTTGCACGAATGGGCGGGTCTGTCCGGAGAAGTACCACAACCTCACAGAAGACCGGCGTGAAGTGGAAGTGTTGTACTTAAGCATTTCTTCTCGCGTAAAAACGATCAGATCAAAGTTCAATGTTCATTCCTGGTTTAGGTCTCACCGGCGCCACAAATGCCGGAGGGTCGCCTGCCAGAATGTATGGAGTCCCTCTTCATCCTCTGCACCAGCCGAAGCGCTGTCATGCTCACTTCGTGCTGCTTCTCCTCGAACTGGAGCTGCGACGCGAAACGCAATATGTACAGGCACGGATCTGGAAATAGAGATGATATTTCAATTTAAATGTGCTTTTTTTATCGAAAAATTTAGGGCTGCCAGAATTCGGGCGATAGCTCATTGTCCGGGCTTTCTTCACCTTTAATTTAATATACTCGAGCCACTTGAGTTCGATCCCCGGTGCAGGCACCTATGTAATTGTTAATTTTAAGTGCTCACTTATCACGTGCTCGGCGGAGAATTAAATATCGTGATGAAAAGTTCATATTTTTGAAATAACAGCGAAGAAAAATGTTTCGAAGATAATGTGAAGTATATAGTAGATAAGTGAAGGATATAGTCCGCCAGTACGCAGTGGGGCCGCCTGGTGGACTATATCCCCTGTATTAAGAGGCCTTTGCCCAGCAGTGGGATATGTATAGGCTGTTACTTTACCAGCCTGGCTAAGCGGACGATGTCGTTACGGCGCTCATAAAAAAATTATTCCAAATATCAGTGGCGATATCTTTCGTTCAAATCGTTGTAAAACGATATTTTAAATTATTTGTGTGCTGTAAATAACATTACAAAAGATGCACAAACTCTTGCTTAAAATGCGGAAAAAATGCGTTGAGCTTAGTGGTTAAAACGTCTGGCGCAAATTCGGAAGACGTGGATCCGATTCCCGTAGCGGCGAAAAACTTTTCATCCATTTTTTCTAAAATTGTATATTTGAACATACTTTTATTTTGTAAATAAGTACATATTACAGTGGTGGAACCCACACCCTCCAGCGCAACAGACATGTTTATTATACGAAATGCCAATTGGATCATTTAGAGATTGCTTTCTCCGTCTGTTTGTTGCAATTTTTTGTCAATCCGTATATTACTTTTAAACGGTGGAGCTTTGAATCGTACTAGCACTTAGACTTTTATATGAAATGAGTACAAGATAAATGTATTTAATTGTGTGTTGATCATTTTATAACATTCTTTAGTAAAGTTTTCTGAAACCTTTCTTTGAATTAAAATAAATGTTAATTATTCCAAAGCAGGTTGGCAAAGATCACACGTGTCTCGCAACAATGGTAATGAGGAGCTATTGCCACAAAGTGTAACAAATAGTATGTTCTAATTTGGAATAAATTAATAGGTTGAAACGCAAATATTTTTGTAAGAACAGAGAATTAGGAAAACTTCGTTTGGAAATGGAAGTACCACGGTCTTATAAAGTCGCGTGTGAAGTGGAAGAATAGTATCTAGCGTTTTCTTTTGTGAGGTTCTTAACATCCAAAAACAAGATGCGGCATACATCTCCCATTTAAGGCGAAGACAGTAATTTATAAAAAAATATGTATAAATTTTAATTTATATAATAAGCGACATGGATAGACAGCGAACGCAAATAAGACATGTTTAGTTTGGGTTTACTGTGGATAGATAATTTATAAATTCATGTATAGATATGATTATAAGTATCATAATTTAGGTGGTGATTTATCAGGGAGGGTTGTTGAAATATTTAAGAATTTACACAATTTTTTAAACCGACCTGAATAAAAGCAATTCGATTGTATTTTTTTTCTACATTGTTCCTCAGTAGACTCAGAATTCCATTATGAACTCCTACTGTAGAACAGATTTAAAATTTTTGCATTATTATTGGACCCTCGGCTCCCCGATGAAATCCCAAATACTCAACCATCGAATCCACTACCCCCGCCGCCGAAGGTGGTGGTTTCGGTTTCGAGAAACAATTATAAAAAAAATATTATAAAAGTTTGTTCATTTGTCAATTACAGTTTCTGTGTACGTAATTGATAATCTTTGAAACTACTGAACTGATTCTTAAAATGTCTGTACTAATGAAAGAAATGAGCTATATTATATTCTCCCGTTTTGAATATAATATCTAAGTAAGGTGTTTTTCATGCTGTAAGGTATACATATTAGTAGGGTCAAACATTGCTAATAATGCAACAAAGGAATTAGGTAGATGTAGAGATATTCAAGTTTTTAAGTCATCGGCCACTTAGCTCAGTGGGTAAAAGGTTTGGGCTTGTTACCCGGAAGAAGTAGGTTCGAATCCCGCAGCACGGAAAGTTTTTGACCATTTTTACAAAAACTCAAATCTTCAAATTCTTAATTTCTAATCAAGGTACAAATTCATGGTCTGTGCATAGATGTGTATTTAGAAAAATAATATGGTAATATCTAAATTGGTAATCTAATTGGTAAACGAATAACTGGAACTTGGACTTCATCTGCCCGTCCCAAGTCAATGATTTTTTTTAAGTAAGTCGTAAATATAACACAGTAATAAAATATTAACAATTTAAAATATAATAACAGTAATTAAATTATAACAACTCTCAGAAATTCACAAAAATCATTCAGAACAGCGCAACCGAACGATTAGTGGCGAAATATGTGCTAACTAAAACAATTCAAAAGCGTTGTCCTCGGCTGCCGTCATTGTCCCAGATTGTTGATAATATTCTTTATAAACGCAAAAGAGGTCGTAAGTTCTTTTGAGAGCACACATACCAATCCAAGCGTTGAAACTGAATAGCACGGTAATATAAAAGAACACACACAGACAACACACACAGGTTTTCGAAATCAGAGCGATTGTAAAAGGATGACAGCAAAAAATTAATACAGGTTGTTGTAAAGATCATTTTGTGATTCCTCGATATATTAAAGTCTTCGACGTACAGACTGATGAGTGACCCCATGCAGACCTTTTGTTGGCCTTGGGATATCTTCGCTGTAGCAACATACTATTCCGATGGCTAAGCAGTTCTCCAGATACTCCATTCTTTTATTTTAAAAATAAATACATATTACAGTTCAACGACAAGTTCTCCAGATATCATCAGACATATTTTAAATTAAAGAAGTTTAAAGAAGTTTTATAAAAAAGAGGAGCTTATGTATGCTCCGTGTAATGTGTAGTTCGCAGTGGGGGGTCGCGTGGTGTCCCTATGTCCTCTGTTAGAGGAGGCCTTTAACCACCTGTTAGGACATATAAAAAGCTGTTGTTTCATCATCATCATCATTTCAGCCTGTTTGAGTCCACTGCTGAACGTAGGCCTCCCCCATAGACTGCCATGAAGTACGATCCTGAGCCACCTGCATCCATCGACTTCCCGCACATTTGCACAGGTCGTTACTCCATCTAGTGGGGGGTCGTCCTACACTGCGATGGCCAGTACGAGGCTGCCACTCGAGAAACTTTCTTCCCCAACGGTTATCGGTTCTACGAGCTATATGGCCGGCCCATCGCCACTTCAGCTTGCTAATCTTCTGAGCTATGTCGGTTATCTTAGTTCTACTGCGGATGTCTTCGTTACGAACTCTATCACGCAGAGAAATACCGAGCATAGCCCGCTCCATAGCTCGCTGAGCGACTTTGAGCTTCCTCATACGGCCAGCAGTGAAGGACCACGTCTCGGTTCCGTAGGTCATCAGCTGTAGCAGTCGTAGCTGTTGTTTTGCTTTACTTAATTACCACGGGCTTGTAAAAAAACATTAGAGTTAGGTACGAGTATAGTCGAAAACACCATTCCTTCGTATTTCAGTTTTCTCACTTTCACGAAGCGATTTTTGATGCATTGTTTAGTGCGGACACGTTAACATGATGAATTGTGAAAAATGGAGACTGCCAGTGTTAATTGAGTGAACAAATGTTGAGACAAGTTATGAAATTTGAACTTTCCCAAGGCAAATTTGGATGGCACAGACTAGCTCTTATCCTATATCGTAGAAAGCGATTCACATGATGAAGGACGTCACTTGATTTAAATTTCATATTATGAGAACGTAATCATTTGTTATACGTGATAATGTAATTTGTTTAAACAATGAAGTATATTATCAAGTGCATGCATAACGTAATTGGGTCTGTAAACACTCAGAATTTATTGAATAGATGAAAATTTAATATCGGGTTATTTTCGCTAAATACAATCGAAACTATCATTTACATTATATCAAAAATATTGGAACATTTCAAACCAAACAGCCAAAGAGCGGACCATAATATTATATACTTGAAGGTTTATTAGATTTGGGCTTTTTGTCTAAGCATTATATTATATGGGTGGACTACGATTCGTAATTTCATATTTGTTAAACTCCCAATCTCCACAACGTAACTCTGAGCAGTTATTAAAAGATATTTTCTTTATAAAGAGTTAATACTGCTATTCTTGTTTGCTTTGTCAATCTTATAAAAATTATTGAAATTTCAAGCCAGGACGTGTTGCAATACAGTTCGAACGCCAACATAAGAAGCGACATACGAACGCCGGACAAACGGGTTGCATTTTCGTTTTTAATTTCGCAACCGTCGCGCTCGAAATGCTCTCGGAACGTATACGCGAACAAATTAAATTGCGTGCGCAGAATATTCCACCACGCGAACACAGAGCGTCCCGTAGACCCGTAACTTGTAATTGGTCACGCATTTAAAAGAAGATGGTGCTAACGATGGCGACTGTCTTTTTTATGTATGCAGGTGGCAAGCGAACTGGCGGTTCACCTGATGTTAAATGATAACCACCGCCAATAGACTGCTGAGAGTTGTTAAGATGGTATGGCTTCGGAGCTCATTGACGCTAAGAGGTTTGTTAACACCAGTAGAGTTGAAAATGCGTTGCCACCTTTTAATAAAACATGAGGCACAGCGAAGATTGTTGCGTGGCCCTACCACAGACATGATCAACGAAACTAAATTATTTATTTATTTATTTACTATATCGGAGACAAACAGGAACAAAAGACAAAATAAACAATAAAACTAACATACATCATGCGGATATTTACCGCTGCTCCCTTAACTAATGTCTCACTGAGAACAAATTTGTATTGATAGAATCAATACAATTTATATTCAAATACTAGCTATGCCCGCGACTTCGTCCGCGTGGAATTTAAAATAAAAAAAAATCAAAAATAAAAGTAGCCTAAGTTACTCCTAATTACATCAGCTATCTGTGAGTGAATGTCCCGTCTAAATCGGTCCAGCCGTTTCAGAGATTAGCCGGAACAAACAGACAGATAGACTGACAAAAATTGTAAAAAAAATTATTTTGGTATATGTACCGTGTATAAATCCATATGCATTTAGTAAAAAGCGGTTATTTTAATATTACAAACAGACACTCCAATTTTATTTATCTGTATAGATGTATAGATGTTAAGTATGGTGAATTACTTAAACTATTTTTCTGTGGTAGGGGCACTTATGCTGTTGCACGATGCAGCTTCCTCTGATGGAGTATCACGGCCCCACAGAAGATGACAAGAAATTGTGTCATACTTTTACGTTTCATTTTGTAAGTGAAGTATGCCTGACCTTCCCATTCTTAAGGTTAGCAACGCATCCGCAACCACACTATTGTAACAGTTGTCACTTAACATCAGATGAACAGTCTGCTCCCCTGTCAACTTTTGAAATATGTATATGTACAAAAAGATATGTATTGCGGTATCACAAAAGCCGCATTAAATACGCCATTTTGTTCGTAGAAGCATACGTCATGGCTCATGGTATTCTTCACAAAGGGCAAAATTCGAATTCTTTACAGGGTTCCGTACCCAAAGGGTAAAACGGGAACCTATTACCAAGACTCCGTTGTCTGTATGTCTGTCCGTCTGTCACCAGGCAGTATCTCGTGATAATTAGTTCAAATTTTCACATATGATGTATTTCTGTTGCCGCTATAACAACAAGTACTGTGAAACAGAATGAAAAAATATTTAAGGGCCCCGATACAACATACATTTTTTTTGCCGTTTTTATAGATGATGATATGGTACGGAACCCTCGAGTCCGACTCGCACTTGACCGGTTTATTAGAAAACTTTTGAGTGGCTTATAGTCTTTAGAGTAAAGCCGGTAAATGGTTGCGGTCTTTGCTACTGTTTTTTCCTTAACAAGGCATTACAATTATTAAATCTAATGAAAAAGATAAAAATCATCTTCTGTGTTCATTATATATTGAAGTTATTATATATGTTGTGTTATTAACATTTTGTGTAAAAAAATCGTTTTCCTCTCCATATCAACATCAACAAAGAAGCAACTCGATTAAAGCTATGACATTACGTTTGCAAAGAAATATTCACCCTCTAAGATTCGTAAGAGTGATAGGGAACCAGGTACAGCCATGAAACAGCTTCGGCTGTTGCACGAATGGGCAGGTCCATTCGGGTAAGTACCACGACCTCACAGAAGATCGGCGTGAATTGGATGTTTCGTCTGGGAAGTAGCTAGGGCGCACTTTTTTAAATGTGGCAACGCATCTGCAACCCTACGGGTGTTGTAAAAACATGAGGAAACCTGCATATTCTCGAAATAATAACATTAAAAAGTTAGTAAAAATTGCAAAAAATCGGGTTTTTACTTTCACACGATCGTATTTTGCAAAATATGACGTGTCAGGTAGTAACATTTTACTCGCGTTCTCGAAAACATTTGAGAAGAAATAAAAACGGGTGTAAAACTGGATTTGAGACAAGTGCCTTTTATTATAAGTGCCCTTAAGAAACTTGTTTAACGACATAGTAAAGAACATTAGCATTGCTATTTTATATAATAGGTTGGGGAAAAAGTTTCTTCGCATTTTATATGAAAATTCAAAACATTTTTAATCAAGTTTATTTACATTTAACTAAAGTATGTACATGTATGCCATTTTGTTCGATAACTTTCTGCTATCTTGTAGGTAAGGACATGATCCCGTTGCTATAGAAATTCTGGGGCTTCTGCTCAAAAAACCGCGACAAGTGATTTTGGCAGTCCTCTCGTGATGTTAACCTGTCCTCTGACACTGCCTGAATTTCTGAAGAGACTGAAACAAGTGGAAATCTAAAGGTGCAAGGTCAGGACTATACGGCGGATGCATTAATACCTCCCAGTCAGACTCTCTTAATTTGTGCTGAGTGGCTAAAGATGTGTGAGGTCTAGCGTTCTAATGATCTAAAACCACACTCCGTTAATTATTTTCGGCCGCTTTCTCTCAACTTCTTTCTTAAATCTCATCAGTTGTTCGCAGTAGAGTTCAGATTCAATGGTCCTGTCTGGCGGTAACAGCTCATAATGAATAATGCCCTGCCAATCCCACCATAAACACAGTATTACCTTGTTGCGAGATAACCCGGGTTTTGCCAGAGTCTGTGAAGCCTTTGACCACGACCTTTTTCGCACGTTCTTGTCGTACGTGCACCACTTTTCATCACTGGTTTTCAGATTTTTTAAAAATGGTTCGGTTTCATTACGTCGTAATAAAGAATCACAAATGAATACACGGTTCATTAGCATGAGCTCATAAGGCACCCATATATCGAGCTTTTTTGTGCCCCAGCTTTTTTCAAATGCGCCAAAACTGTATTGTGGTCAATTCACAGTTCTTCAGCTACATCGAAACTACTGATATGCCGATTTTGCTCCACTTTTTCAAAAATGGCATCCATTTTATCCGTAACAGGGCGCCCAGAGCGAGGTGCATCTTTGACATCAAAATTTCCGGATTGAAAACGCTTACTAGGTCCATAATAAACATCACAATTTTTTTTCACGGCTTGAGTTGCATTTTTACCTTTTTTGTAGTCAAATTTTAAAATTATCTAATTTCTTCATTAGAATCATTCATCTTAACAGGAAGAAAAACAAATGAAAATCACACACTTTCCTAATTTGAATGTGGAATAGTCCTTTTTAATTTTTTTTAATGATACCAAAACCAGCCAGATACATACTATTTGCGAAAAGAGTTTTTCCCCAACCTAATATACAGGGAGATTTTTTGAGA